TCCCACGCCCGTTTCGCAGCGCGAGGAGCTGCGGCTCCTGAAGTCAGAGGCCTTGCCCAGAGCTCTTAGCGTGAGCCTGGCGACTCCCGACCTCGGGGTCTCCTCTGGGGGACGCTGGCCCGGCCGGGTACAGAGCCCTTGGTTGGGCAAGGGGTCTCGAATAGTGGCCGAAGGGAGGGGCTTGTCTAGGGCGGAGTGAAACTGAGGCACGGATCGTTTTCTCAACCCTGGATGGCCTCTGTCATCCCTCAGACATACGCAGTCTCACTCACACACCTGCACACGCTTACACACGCACACACTGACATACACACGTGTGCACACCCGCATTCACAGACACACACTCCTGGGGAGGGTGACTGGAGGTCCCTCGGCACACCTGGTCGTGCACACAACACTGGGTGTGCCCTGAACCCGGCATCCCTGAACTCAGCGTCCCCTGCACCTAATGTCCCTTGCACTCAGTGTCCCTTGTGGTCACTCTCACACCCTGCCTCTCGCTCCGTCCTTACCCCTACCTGTGGCCGGGCAAGGTGGGCGTCACTGTGTTGGCTTTCCAGGTGAGGCAGCCAGGTTCACCGGGGACAGCCTTGCAGGGTTTTGGAGGGTGAATATAATTTGAGGTAGAGGTCTGAGGGGGAGCTTCCCGCAGGATCTAGGCTTCAGGGGCTACCAGGGCAGCTGGATGGAGGGTGGGTGCTGACCTTGTTTTTCTCCTCTAAGCTGGGTGCCCTCCCAGGAGAACAGTCGCGGTGGAGAGGGCTCCTGTGCCTCACCCTGGCATCAACGGACCTGGGTTGAATGAGGACTCATCTCCAGGCTGTGTGACCTTGGACAAGTTTCTTCACCTCCCTGAGCCTCGGTTTTTGTTTTTGTTTTTAATCTGTTGACTGGGGATAAAAAAACAAACAAGAAAACTCACCTCACGGGATTGCTATGAGGGCTAATGAAATAATACATATAAAATGACTGGCACATAGTAGGTGCTTAACTTGGGGCTAAAAACAACAGTGATATGAAACACAAGAATTGTTATCTCACCACAACTTCCCTACCCTATAGGGCAGTCTAAGAGTCTCTGTTCAGTGGGTAGGCATGAAGTGCCTACTGTGTGCCAATGGGAACAAGACACATGTGCCATCCTCAAGCCAGTGCTGTCTTCGGTCACAAGCGCTCAGACCCACCTCCCACTCCAACCCTCCAAGTCTGGCCTCTTGGAGTGGTGCCCTGCTGGAACAACCTGAGACCACAGATGTCCCGGGGCCCCACTCAGCGCCGGGAGTGTGCCTGTCCCCGTATGGAGAAGGAGCGACAGGGCACCCTGTGGCGAGGCTTGGGGTCCAGTCCTGTGTGGCCTGGGTTTGAGGAGGCAGAAGCGTCTTTTCTCTTCTTCCTGTCGTGGAGTGACAGGATCTGGCGTGGAAGGAGGATTGTGACTCACCATGACGCAGGACATGCGTCACGGCTGCTGATACTTCCAGCTGGCAGTCTGACAGCTCTGGGGGCACAGGGGACAGAGAGGGGACCCCTGTAGAGAGGACTCCCACTCTGCCCCCTTCAGCCTAAGCCAGGAACAGGAGGATGATCCTGGGCGGTGATGCTCAGGGTCCCTTGCTGACCGCCTCAGAGATCTGGCTGGGTCGGGCCGGGCTGGCTTTGACTCTCCCAGCCTCTGGTCAGTTTCACATTGATCCGGTCCTGCCCAAGGTCACACAGCAAATCGATAGCAGAGTGAGGACTAGAACCCAGGCCTCCTGCCTGGCAGCGCAACCCTGGCACCAGCCTGAGCCTGGGCCGTGCGGGGCAGCGGCTTCCCTTGCACGCACACATTCACCTTCCCAGTCCTTGGGATTCTGCTGAAGCGGACGATGTCCAGACAGCTCCAAGATGTGTGGCCGTCCTCCCCCGGGCCAGGCTGTCCTTCCCAGCTCACCCCACAGCACATCTGCCCTCCAGTGCCCTCCTTGCCGTGCCCGCTGGACAGGGAGAGGGGAGAGGAGCCCACGGCAGGGGAGGGGCCGGGGAGGGAGCGTCCAGGCTGTGCCCTTCAAGCTGCACACCCCCTTCTCCTCTCCCCCTCACTCCTGCGGCCTTGCTCCTTTTGTCACCAGCCTGAGTGCCTGGCCCGGACCGTGGGCACCGGAGCATGGAGAGGGAAACTGAAGGGTTTGCTCAGAGCAGGATTAATCAAGGGAGCCATGACGGTGATGAATCAGACCCGTTCCTGCCTGGGCAGTCCGGGGGGCGGGGCGGGGACACTGCAGGAGCCACGTGCATAAATAGCTCGGGGTCAGAGTGGACAGTGCTGCTGCATCCTCATGCCAGCCGAATGTGTAAGAGAGAGCAGCGTCGACCAAGGGCTGTGGGGTTGGCTTCCGGGCGGCCGTGACCCTGGAAGTGGATTTTGAAGGTTGCGTGCACTGTGGGCCGGCAGAAGTGGCAAAGGGCACAGTGTGCACAAAGATTTGGAGGCAGGAGTGTCCGGGGGCCCACGGGGGACGGCATGCATGGGGTCTGGGGTACCAGTGGGGGAGGGGGAGGCTGGACAGGGCGTGCCCTTGCCTCAGCCTCAAACATCTCAGGAAAGGCAGAGCTGGCTAAGCAGAAAGAGACCGGAAGCAGAAGCCAGCCAGAGCCGGGTTTGAATTCTGTGCCCGGAACAGTATGTAGTAGATGTGCAGTAAGTATTTGTTGAATGAATGCAAGAAAGTGGGGCTTGGCCAAGCCCCACGGCTAGAAGTGGCTCTAGCCAGGACCGTCAGCCTTTCATTCATACAGCAAATGTTCGCTGAGCGCGTCCTCGGAGCTGAGCGCTGTCTGTGCTGAGATCACTGCATGAATGAGACAGACGCGTTCCTGCCGCTCACGTGGGGGAGGCAGGTGTTAATCCAGTAATGACCCAGATGCATTTAGCATCGCGGCTCCAAAGCGAGAGGAAAGAGCCCTTGAGGGTGGAGAAGACTTGGGATGGTTTCAGGCATGGAGGACACATCCAGAGGAACGACCAAGACGCCCACAGCTGCCAGATGAGCAGGACAAGGCTAGGCAGAGAGAGGGAAGGACCTCAGCCCGGAGGTGGGAGGAAGGGACCAGGTCCCAGGAGGAGGACAGGGCCGCAAGAGGGAGAGCATTGGCAGGACCAGTTCCTACAGGGCCTCACAACGGGAGCTGACCTCTGTCCAAAGAACAACAGGAAGCCCCAGAGGGGGTTTCCTCAGCAGTAAACCAGACTCCTTTCCATTGATTCTCAGGTGGGGTGGAGGCGCAGCCCTGCCTGAGGGCTCCAGGGGCCGGATATGGGGCCTTTCCAGGGGACCCAAGGTAGAAGGCCACAGGCTAATCTCACAATGTGGTCACTCTTGGCCCCTGCGGGGCTCAGGACTGGGGTCTTCCAGCTGGAGTTGAGTGGCAGGCTGTCTCCCTGTCTCACTCCCAGGCAACCAGCTGGGCTAAGTAGGGCAGGGAGAGAGAAAGAAGGGCAAGCCCGCAGTCTGATGGGGGAGGCAAAACCCTCAGGGAGCTTCAAGTCTGATGAAGGAGATACAGTGACCGTCCTGGGCATAGGATACTTGGGTGAGATCGGCTCCTGCCCTGGGGAGCTCCAGCCTGGTGACTAGAGATATGCAGGGTTTGTCTGTAAGATACCTGGCCCAGGCCTGGTCCGTGGTGGCTGCTTTGTGACAGGACCCCTTCCGCGGGGTTCAGAGGGCTGGTACCCCACTCCCGAGTCCCAGAATCTCTGCAGGAGCAGGGAAGCCCCCAGCTGGAATCAAGGTGGACCCTGCTTTTCCCGAACTGTATGATGCCGCAGGTGGCCGCCAGGGGGCAGGCTGAGGTGGCATGATTCTCCGCTGCTTTCCGTTTTCCTTCCCCGCCTTGGCCAATTGACCCAGAAAGCACCACGCTGGCAACTCAGACCCAGCCGTGGCTCCCGGTGGTGTGTCCTGCCGCCTGCACAAAGCTGCCCAGCCGAGGGAGGGCATGAAAACCTTGGCCATGCTCTGGCCACAAAGCCCTGAGCTCTGCCATGGAGTGTGTCTGCCCAAGGACACAAAGATGTCATCTTCTGTAAGCTGTGCATTGCAAGGCCGCACCCCTCAGAGGGGCGACCTTTTAAAAATCTGCACAAAGTCTCTGGCTAGACTAGCCACTCTCTTGAAGTCGGACATCACCTGGTCCAGATCCCCATTGTACAGATGTGGAGATGAAGGCCCAGGAGAGGAACCAAGGTCAACTTGGCTCATGGCTGGGACCAGAACCCCACAGCCAGCAGGAATCCTCACTCTGATCTGGAGGTGTCAGGTACTAGGTGCTACTTCTGGTGTTCTGGCTCTACCTGGAGGTCCCAGGGGTGGGGCTTGGGGCCCTTCTGGGAGCCTGAGGACGTCCCAGGCTGCCCTTGGGATGTGTCCTCTCCAAGCCGAGGCTCCTTCGGGTCAGAGCCCTCCCCAGGCAACCAGCCGGTCCAGGTGGGTTAGGGAGAGACAGAGAGCCAGCCCCAGGTCTGACGGGAGAGACAGAGCCCTCAGGAACTCTGAGCCTGACGGAGGAGACACAGTCACTCTACCAACCCCTGTCCTGAGCACGGGGGACACAGGGAGGAGACCAATCCCTGCCCTGGTGAAGTTCCATCTGCTGAGGTGTCCCCAGCTCCCCAGAGACAGACATTCTAATGGTCATGAGAGGGACCCAGCCCCAGTGGAGGGGAGCCCTGCTGGCCCAGTGGGACCGTGGTGGGATCTCGAGGGTGTTTCCGGTGTCTGGGTTAATAACAGAACCGATAACCATCATGGCTGCTATGCACAGACCCTCGCCTGCCTGTCCTGTTTGACTCTCCCAGTAACCCTAGGAGGTAGGTTCATGCCATGGCCAAGCCGGGGCAGCCCTCCGGCTCCAGCACCCCCTTTCTCTTGATCTTGGGGGTCATTCTGTGACTGGTAACTCCTGGGGCCCATGCACCCCCTTCATTCCTGCCTCTGGATGTTTGCACAAGCTGTCACTCGCCCTCACTCAGTCCACACCACACATGTCCTTCCAGCCCTACTCACAGAGGCCTGTTTCACTCTCCTTCACAGCTTCATTCATCAAATACTTATTGAAGGGCACCTGCGATGGGTCTCGGCTGAGAGCAAGCAGGCCCACCCAGCTGTGTCCGCAAGCTGTGGCCCATGGGCCGAATGTAGCCCACAGCCTGTTTTTGTAAATAAAGTTTTATTGAAGCAGATCATGATCATTTGTTTACCTGTTGCCTCTGGCTGCTCCGCCCTCCCCAGCAAAGGAGTGTGGTGGTAACAGATGGGACGGCCTTCAAAGCTGAAAATATTTATTCTCTGGCCCTTAACAAAAAAGCTCGTTGATGCTTAGATCTGGCAGAAGAGACAGGTGTTAAGTCACTGGAATAAATATGTTTACAAACCATGAGGGGTGCCGACGGGGCCCAGCAGGGGCAGGAACTGAGATGTGGGGAACTGACCACGCCTTTGCTCCCTTGACCATGTCAGCCAGGGCAGGATGCCCCTCTGGAGGTCAAGCGTTGGGCTGGAGTCTCCTCCAAGGTTGGTGTCTGGGCCAGGCAGGGGTGAGGGTCCTGCTGGGATCTGCGGTTTTGGGCAGTGCTCGCGTCCTCCCATCACCACCTCCCCCAGCCTCCCCCGGACCCCCGCGGGCCTCACAGCTCCCATGAGTGCTTCCCTGGCCGCCATCTCCCAGGAGGTGGGCAGGAGTGAGAGTACAAACAGGCTCGCTGAGTCTGATGCTTGGCTGAGGCCTTGCTCTCTGTCTGCAGGCGGAGATCACGATGCCATGGGAAAGCCCCGGATGATACTCAGGACACCTGAGTTCTAGCCCAGGACTCATGAGGGCAAGTCTGTTCCCCTCTGGTCTCTGGGTTCATCTGTAGCCGAGAGAGCTGGGTAAACGGATCCGTGAGTTCTTTTCTGCACCCACCAGTGGCACACTGGGGCTCCCCCATCCCTCTTCCAGGCCTTGGTTTTTCTCTGTAAAATGGGGAGACGAATACTGGGCCCTCCCACACTCCCGGGGCTGGTCCCAGGCCAGGGAGATCACAGGTGGGAAAGTGCTTTGAGCTCGGTGGAAGAAAGGAGCTCTATAAATCCAGGGGGTTATTAGGTGATGGGGATCAAGCAGGGGCGGATGGCCGCGGGCCCCTGCCGTGTTCGATCCGACCAGCAGAGGGCACTGTGGGGGCAGCGAGGGCCGATCGCGGGCTGGAATCCGAGAACACGCGGGAGGCCCTATGGGCGTCGAGTCCGCTGTGCTGAGCGTGGGACGTGGCCATGGACGAATGGGACCCACGATGGTGGGGGGCGTGGGGGGGGGCCGGGACATGGAGCAAACGGGCCTAATGCAGAGAAAGATGGGAGCTATAGTGGAGGCTGGGCAGGGCTGGCGACCCCCAGCCTTGGGAGCCCACGGGAGGTTGCCCGGAGACGCCCTAAAGCCCAGCTGGGAGGGGTGGGCCCGAGAGTCCAGGGGTGCCGGGGGAAGGTAAGCAAGCGTGTGGGCTTCGTCCGGGTTGCCTGGGTTTGAATACGGCTCTGCTACCTGTGGTCGGTGACTGCACCTCTCTGGCCCCGAGTTCCTCACCTGCAAAATGAGAGTAAAAACAGAGACCCGCCTGGGCAGTGAGACCTCATCTCTACAATAAATCAAAAAATCAGCCGGGCGTGGTAGCGCATGCCTGTAATTCCGGCTACTTGG